TACATATACATGTATATATACATATATATATATATATGTGCATGTGTGTGTGTGTGTGTGTGCGCGCCCTAAAGCCTCCACTTCCCAGTATAGACTCCATCAGCCAACAGTAGATGAAGATGATAGATGTAAAGTTTACTTTGGAAAATAAAGGCATTGCATAAATGTGAGATTTAGGAATTTTCAAACAACCTCATTCTACAGCTTTTAAGGCAGTAATAAAGTCATTGTATTTCTCAACACGTATCATTCTTATGATATCTTAGGAAGTGCTCAGACAAGCTGAATGCCTAAAGTGACATTTCTAACAGTGCTAAGAGTCAACAACAGACTTTGGTATCACTGACTAAGCACACAATCAAGTCGGAGGAAATAGTGCAGTAATGGTTCTTGACCAGTTTAAAGAAAAATATTTCAGTGAGTGAGAACGTTCTTTTGCTTCTAAAAATATGCTTGTACATTTGCTCATGAACATTGAGCAGCTCTTCCTTGCCCTGTCGTAACCGCAATAACTTGCTTCATATTTATGGTGTGGTGGATGGTAGGGCTGTTCCCTCCCAGTTTTGAGAGTGTGTAGCACCAGGCTCCCTGGCTCCATGGCAGATGGGACCACTGGCTGCTGGGCAATGGAGCGTAGGGTTTGAGCCGCACTCCTTTCCCTGTGTTTCTTTCTGACCTGATATTAGGCACTGAATATTTCTTAAGTATTACTCCATTGTCCAATTTGCCCATTTGGCAGCAAGTTTTCATTCTAATAAAAGAAGTTCCTCAGATGGAGATTCCAGATGTGGCCAAACTGCTTTTATTAGGACAATGGGAAAGTCCAATCTTTTCTTCTAGATATCTTGATTGTATTTAGAGTAGTGTGGCTTTGCCTTTGTAATTTTACAAAGAGTTCTATTACGTAACTGGGAAATTGTCTCCTCGAGCATAGAGAGAATTTGTTAGCACAGAACGCAGCTTGGAAAATGCTGATGTAAAGCCTCAATTCGAGAGAAACCTTTTAAGTTGCTGAAATGTAAGAGACGAAGAAGGAAATTGCTGTTTTACATGATTGACCAAAATGCACTGTAATTATATCAACTTGAAACAGATTCCTTAGAAGAACTGATAACTCTGTGATCAGAATAAGTCATGTGTAGTGGAACTAAATACAGCATGGACTTTCTCTGCAGAGTGCAGACACGCCGTAAGTGAGATGTGCAGTAGAAGTGACAGCTGTACTTGCCTTTGCCTGTTTAATGGGACCTCTAGCTACTTTAGGATAGTAAGGAATGGTGGGAGGCTTTACAGAGGAATTAGTATGTACCATGCCTGACCATCCTTTTGCATTGCTCTGCAACACGGCTTGTGGACTCTCCTCGTGTGATGCTATTTGATGTTGCCGCTCCTGTTTGTAATGAACACAGCATCACTCATCAGACAGTCAGCTTCTAAATGGAACACTCCTCTAAGATTCCGCTGACTGTCCTTGCTGCCTGTTTTAAAGTGGGAGGGTAAGGTTTAATCACAGATATTTAGCCCAAATATATCCTTCCCGTTTTCCCTCTTCCCTCTAATGTCACTGCATAATATTGATACTATTTTCTGTCAGCCATAGATAAGATCATCTCCAGTAAAAGTAATACTAGTGTTTATTCAGTGCCAGTAAAACTAATTGTCTGACATTGATACTCTGAAATACTATTCCTAAACATTATTCCTTGCATATGGTAATCATCTATTTGTACATCTCCTTCACATAACTATAAACTTCTAAAGGGCAGGATTATTTCTTATTTCTTCATAATGCCCCAAATAGTGGAGTACCTAATACATAGTAAGTATTCAAGAACTCATTAACTGAGAATAGTGGATTGGAAATATTATCATCTGTTGGATTCTGAAAAAAGAAAGAAATTGCAACTAATGAGTGAAGTGCCTAGACTTCCAATAGCCAAGTTAGATAACTAGTTAATTAAGAAGTAATTGTACTCTGTATTCATTTTTGTGTAAGCTGACAGAGGACCCACCTTGGTATTACTGGTACATGCAGACATCATAGACAAAGCTGATGTCTCTAACCCCATCAATAAAAGAGGAGCTAAGGTCAATTTTCTTGCCATTAGGATTCACTTGCTTTGGTCCCTCTGGTGACTCACAGTTCCTTCTAGGACCGGGTCACATGACTGTGAGATGGCCACAGAGTTATCTGAAATGCTCCGCTGAGGAGCAGGAAAAGGCCAAACGCTCTATATTGGTCATTGACTTTATCTCATAAACACCCTCCTCTAACCCGCTCAGGTCTCCATCCACCCTGAGCAGCTGAATGCCACCAGCAGGATGCTGTAACATCCATCCTGAACGAAACACTGGAGGTTGTCATGGTGGGAGATCTTTTCTTTCACTTCTATTAAAAGGACATCTTTCCCTCTCTCAATTCCCCACCTGAAATGCTTCCTCCTGGCTTACTCTTTTTGCCTCTCTGAATCCTATAGGACCAGCTTAAATCCCTTCTCCCTCCTGAGATCCTTCCTGATCCTCTGCAGAAAGCAGTAATTGCTCCCTCTGATGAACACCTGGGCAACTTGTGCTGATGCTACTTGACATTTTGGATATTTTCCCTTTTATTGTAAAAATTTTTTTCTCATTTATTTATTGGGTTTCTTGAGAGTGGGGATAATGCCCTGGGTTTTCGTAAAACCTATAGCATCTTATTTCATATGGCAAATATTTAAAAAATACTTGGTAATTTGGGAGAAAAGTATCCAGAAAGGAATTTGACAGGGGGAAATGCACTTAATGAAAATTATTACAGATATTATGAGAAAAATCTATAAGCATGTAATGTTTTTATAATATATAAAACTATTTTAAGTTATTCTCTTGAAAGTTAGACATAAGAAATTTTTCATACCCAACAATGAACGTAGGTTACAAATATACAAATGCAAAGATGGAGATTCTTTTCTGAATTAGGATCAAAGTCGTATTTTGGAAATCGCTCTCTATGTTCCAAGATTATTTGTTGTATAAACTTACCTGTAGTTATTCCATTGTACTGTTTTGTGTTTAGCATTAGTTAATTCATTTGTATCCCAAGTCCCAGATTATCTCATCTACATACAGTAGTCCAGAAATACCAAACGTGGTCCACCTACCTGACCATCAAATCATGTTCTCGATTCTAGACAGAACCGCTTACTGAGTCTTCTAGGCCAGTGGTTATACACACACCAAATGCACCTCTGGATCCAGAACAGTTTAAATGAGTTAGTCATAATGCTTCATGATCTTCTGATAAGCTCCATGCAATTTAAATTTTAGGGATACAGTTCTTGCCTAGAAACTAACCTCCTAAAAATGATCATACTAATAGAGATGTAAGTTTGACAAGCAAAAACATTACGAATATTTATGACATTTTAAACTTTGGCAGTAGTAAGTCTAGGGCAGTGGAATATTACTTGCTGGGTTGATGAGGATCAAGAGAGGATCATGTTGAATGTATCATTTAAAAAACCCATTGATTTAAAGAAAAAAACAATCACCCAGCAAGCACACCTCTTTTATTACATTTGTTTCCTCCATTCATATTCTGGCATCATTATCTTCACCCAGACTATCATAATTGCCTTCATCATCATTCTGCCCTCCATACTCCCATTCTAATCCACCCAATCAGACAATAAATATTTTATTAGGAATTTGTATATTTCAGGTACTCTACTGGAAGAATCAACTCCTTCATCTCAGGACGGCTACTCTCCGCACAATCACGTTCAGCACCTCTCCACTTCACAAACTCAAATGTAATCCAGCCTCACTTTCCAGTCTTATCGTCTACTTATTCTGTTCATATGCCCAATCACTTCAGTCAAAGCAAAATATTCACACTTCTCTGTGATATATGTGTTAGTTTTCAGCATAATTCCCTGGGGCCTAGAACTATAAAATAAATCATTCTCAGAATTAGAAGTTGTGTTCATGTCATAAATCTAACAATCTGAGAAAAGCATCTTAGAGTAGACAGTATTAGGGGTGTTTCTGAGAATTTCTATTTTAAAAGGCTTGCTAAAACTGTGGAGGGAAGTACAGAAGGAAGAAGGGGCTTAACTTAGAATTGGGACAAGAAGGTTAAACACAAGGAGTAGGCAGCCTAAAGAAAAGCGAAACTGGAGAACTGGGGTGTAGGGAAATGACAATACTTGTCATAAATCTCATTAGAAACAGACCCCAGGGAAAGACACAAAATACGTAAGACCCTCACACCGGGAACTTCCACATTTTGAAGGCTAGAGTTCTGAGATGCATGATCATACCAAAAACGAAGAAGAAAAAAAGAATTTGGCTTTCTAAAATGGGATACGTCTTTATTGCGCACAAAATACATGCAGAGCACTGTGCTTCTGTGAAGGTCCAGGTAACCTGAACTACCCCTAGTGACCACTCTGCTCTATCATGAAGTACTGATAATAAATTGTATCACGGTATGACCCGAATTCTTGCTCTAAACGCAGGCTCCTGTCTGCCAGAATGAATTCCAAATTCATAATCAGGATCAAAGTTAGGCCATATTAGCTGCTCTGTATTTTTAAACTTTGTATTAAATTACCATCAAAGAGCACTAATTAAGATAAGAAATAGAGCTACTTATTTGTTTCATATGCATCTTCAGATTTCTGAATTATGCATTAAAACAATCTATGACATCTGTGTGTGCTTTTCGCAAAAGAAAAAAGCATAAATGCCTCAGGGTGCATCTGCCTAGCTAAGAAACAGATGAAAACAACTCTTTCTGCAGTTCTATTAAAGTACAGAGAAATATCATAATTTTAAAGGCTACAAAAATAAGGTAAAGATTATACAAGACAAATAAATCAGTAAAATCTGTAGCAAAACCCAGAATATTTTAGATTAATCTGAAAAGGCTGAGTCTCCTAAGACTTTGAAAAATGAGAAAAGCCATTTGGCAAAATCCTTAACTTGGATTTTTTTTGTTTGTTTGATTTTGTTTCTAGGTTCCAGATTCAGAGATGTGCAACTGATCCAAACAGTTACAAAAGCTTAGGACACAGCTTTCGAATGATTTTCCGCACAGAAGGGTATGTATGGTTCTTATATATAGTCTCTATGTTGATGTGGGCATTTTAATATATTACTGCACAACGTGTTTTCTCATTTTGAATGATTTCTTTTCCTAGTCTTAGTAGGGAAAAATATTTAAAAGGGTGTCTTCCTATTTTTGTATGTGTTTTTCTGGATAATACGGTTGAAAATTAAATATGTATATGATAGAAACTACCACAAAAAGGATGTTAATAATATCCTTTATGAATAATAGTTTGATGACTAGAGGACAATTTTTATTTTGTGCTATTGAGGCTTTTTAAAGTTCTTATAACTGGGGATATCTAAATGTGATAGTTCTTTATTTTGATTCTTAAATATAGCGCCCAAATGTGTTCCTTGTTTGCATTCTGGTTTATGAATATTCAATCAAAACATATCTTTATCAAAAATTGATGTGTCAGGTTCATCATCCTATCTATTAGATGATCAGATAAATAGAATATTTTTGTTACATAAACTAAAATTGTCTTTGATGTATAGATTCAGTTAAAGTCTTTATTGAGCATAATTTTCCAAAGGATATTAGATGTGCTTTTTGAAGTTGTTTTCATAAGAGAATTGGTTGAAAATAATCATTATACCAAAAAGATAACAGTAATAGTAACAACTAGTACATGTTTAGCCTCTACTATGTACTAGGAATTCTCCATATAACTCTTAGAGTAGGTTCTGTTAGGAGCCATTCCAGTTGGACAGATGAAGAAACCAAGACTCAGAAAAGTTAGTAATTTTCACATATCTGGTAAATCTTGAAGCTGGGACTCAAATCCAGTGAGCTTGACCCCAAAGCCCATGCTCCTAACTCTGTAGTTCACTACCTCTCTTAGCAGATTATACTGGGGCTACTCTTTTGCTAATTAAACATATGTCATTTATGTCGTCTCATGCCAATAGATTCTTTTTAACAACAGCATAGTAATTTATTTACCTACATACTGCAGTTTATTAAATTACTCCCTTTGGTGGCCCATTAGGTTGTTTCCATATTTTCACTATTATAAACAATAGTACAGTATATATTCTCATACTGTTTTTTCGCATTTATGTGTGTATGTGTGTGTGTATATATATATATATATATTTCTATTTTTAAAAATTGCTATCAATGGACTTATAAGATCAAATGATATGCACATTTTATATCATAGATGTTGCCAAATTATCTTCCAAAAAGTATGTACTGACTTTTATATCCTTAGTATTTGAGAGTTCTTACTTCTCCACACCCTCTCAAACACTGGACATTATCAGTCATTATTTGATATATCTGTCACTAATATGCATCTCCTGTTTATAATCTAATAAGTGAAAAATAAAAGTGTCTTAATAGTATTCCTTTGATTGTAACTGGGGTTGAGCATACTTTTATATCATTAGGTATTCTTTCTTTCATGAATTGCTTATTTTGTGTCTCTCGCCCATTTCTCTTAGGTTATATTTTTTAATTAATTTGTAGGAGTTCTGTATATATTATAGGTACTAATCCTTCAACTATTACATAAATTACAAATATTTTCCCCAACTTGTCAGTTGTCTTACAACTATAGTGTCTTACACCTTTCAGAAGTTTGTGAGTTTTGAAGATTGTGATTTTGTGCTTATATCTATCTTTTCCTTTGTGATATCTGACCTTGATGACACATTAAAAAAGAAGGACATCCTCTAACCCCAAGATTACAAACATCTACGTCTGAATCTTTAATCCATCTGTGATTTCTTTTTTTAATGTGCAGTATGGCATATAGGAATTAAATTTTATTTTCAAATGGTTATTCAGTTGTCCAAACACCACTGCTGAAAAAATCCATTCCTTACTCACTAATTGGAAATGCTAGCTTTTTTGTATATTAAACTTCCACATATATATCAGCTAAATTTTCTATTCTGTTTCTCTATTTCCTATTCTGTTGCATTAATTTATCTATCTCTATGCCAGTATCATACTGTTTTAATTGTTTTATCTTTTGAGTGTTTCAGGAATATGTAAAAATATGGCCTGCAGTGTAAAGTCTAAATTCCTTATCAGGTGTACAGAGCCCTTCCTAGGACAGCCCTTGCTTCTTCCAGGCTCATTCCTTGTGCGCAGATCTGTTATATAGCGTGCACCACCCTGATTTATTGAGCTTGTTTTCTGTCTGTCTCCCCTCTCCCACCCCAAGAATACATTTCCCTGAGGCGCACGTCTCATTTCCCTCTGTTTTCCCTATCCCTGTGTTTGGCACTGAGTAGAGATACTCAGTAAATGCATGTTGAACAAGTGAATGAAAGTCATCACACCAACATCATGATGATGCAAAATGAAAAAGAAAGATGATAATTCTTGCTATAGACCACTCCCTCTGAAGCTATGATAATGATCCTGAAGGCTGATTAAATATTTTGAGGTCATCTAGTGACACAGAATCAGCAAATTCTTGCTATTCCTCTGGTGATGTGGTACCTAAGTGTCATTGATAATATGCCCGCATTTATGGCGGTTGGGATCAAAATCATGTTCATTTTACCCAGTACATATATATATAATTAAAGAAACCATAGTTTATTATATAGTCAATAAATTATCTCTTTCCAGTAAAACAATAGCGTCAGCATTGCCAAGTTCTGTAAACTGTAACAGATATCTCTGAATTGGATGTGGGAGTTCCTTAGCCAGACTCTTCATTTCAAGTGTGTTTTAGGAAGAATTTGATGTTTCTGCTTTGATATCAAGTAATGTAACAAACATACAGTATGTGTGGTCCCTGCATAGTAAAATTGGCCTTTTCCTCGACTGTATGTTTAATTGCTTCTAAAGCAAATTGACATTCTTTCTGTAATGCCTTTAGATCTGGACATGTTGTTAGCAAAAGTCAGAAAGCTCCAGTCTTAAAGATGGAAATATTTGTAAAAATACCAAAGAGAAAGCTGCCTGTTATTTTTGATACAGAGCAAGAGCATTTCATAGCCTTAAGTTTAAAAAAAAAAAAAGAGGAAGAAAAAAGAAAAAAAAATCCTTTTAACACATGCTGTGTTGAATTTTTTTCCTAGCAAAACAGTTCCTTTTGATTTTCTTAGTTAGCTTTTACAGTATACTCTGCTTTCAAAGATGGTTTTTCACTCAGGTGCGTAGAGGCCAGTTTGCTCTGTGGCCTTCAGGGAGGATAGTGCTAGTCAGTTTGACTATTAACAATTAAGAGAGCTCATCTGTTCTGGTTCTTCTTTTTTTTGTTTGTTTTTGTTTCTGTTTTTGTTTTAGGAAGAACGCAAGGGCCGCGAGCGCCCGGGAACCCCCGGCCCATCTCCTGATTCTTCTTATCTAATTCCCCCAGCCCCTCAAGTTAAAGGTTTTGAAAGCTAGTCCTTTTCTGTTGTTTAAAAACATTAAAGTCTGTTAACACACTTAGAATCTGCACAGAGCTCCCATTTCCCCACTGTAAGAAAGTGAAGTGGTATTGTCACCATTCTTAGAGATGCAATTCCCCACCTCTCAGCCCAGAATTCACATTTCTAAGAGACAAGAGCTCAGTCACATGGTTCTGAATCCCTTTACTGCTTCTAAGATTTTTTTTCTTCTTAGAAGCATAGATACATTGTGCTGTTATTAAGGACATAGTTTTTCAACCCAGCTTTACAGAGGTGAAATTAACTTAAGTTTTTAAAACTAGGCCTTCCAAATTGTGAGTAAGGATTTCTGTTATGTGGAATTGTCATATTTACTTAGCTTTTACCAAAAAGGTCGTCATTGCAGAAAACTGACAGGGAAGGAATTTGTCACTGTTGAGAGTACCTCCATCGTCGCCATGATTCTTCATCTTTCTCTGGTTTGACAGAATACACTAACAGGTCCGTCTAGTATAATCATGAGCCCAGAAGACATGAAGATTTAGCCTAGTTGACTAGGTGCCTTCAAAACCAGTAAGCTTCATTTTGTAAACTCCCCTGGCAAACAGCAGCTGGTATCTCTGTTTACCATGCGTTCCTGCATCACACCTAATTTCCTTTTGCTTCAGAGTATCTCATGAGAGTTCTTCTAGTCTATTTTTGTACTTAGCATTCCTTTAAAGAGAGTGATTGAGATGTTCACAGATGGGTGAGGGTATTATAAGTTATGCTAAAATAAAACCAGGACTGCCCACCTCCTCACTCTGCGTTCTCTGAAAATATCTAGTGGCCATTCTTTCTGAAATGAAGAGAAAAAAAAGAGTTAAACAGAACTTAAGATATTCTGGTGACATAGGTAAAGAAAGATATGAAACTAATATTTATTTTCTTCAGTGTACCAGGCACTGTGCCAGGGACTTTTTCATTTCAGCACAGCACTAGTCTCAACACAGCTCAGCATCATTATGTATGTCTGTATTTTGTGTGAGGTAACAGATGATCAGAGAAGTTAAACAACTTCCCCAAAGTCAAACAGGTATTAGTGACATACCATGGTTTTTCCATTACACTGTATCACCTTTCATTAAACACCAAATTTTGTTGTTTATTAAGTGAAAAGAAGACAATGTGGAAGTAGTGGCTGTAAACCTCTAATTTTTAAATAGCTATTCTAAAACCTTTGGTATTCCTACCCTCAAATCACATACTAATTTAAAGCAGCTTTTATCTCTTCCTTCAAGTAAAGTATGGGAGACCAGTATATGGTCAGTCAACCAAATCCTGTCGATTCTGAGGCAGCACCACAAACCTCTGACAGCTCCGGACTCTTAATCCAACCATTGTTCCATCTCTTGCAGAGAGCTCCATATCTCTGATGAATTCATGGTTTTCCATCAGTCTGCTCTCATCCTGCTTGTTCCTTAGTTTTCTTATGAGGAAAATTCTTGGGCACTGGTTTGCCCAAGGCAAATAACTAGGAAACAGGAGGTCAGATTAAACTTAGTTTCACATGAGAAACATGTTGATTGCTGGTGCCTTCAGAAATATGGTATTCTTCAGAAAATATTACTGTAGAAAATATGTGGTTGCATTTGGGGGGCATTCGAACTGT